GAGATATTCAAGGAGGGAGGATCATCCCTGTTATCATGCCTATACTCCCTCATTCTGATGATCTGGAGAGAGGAAACCATACCAAGTGAGCTCAAGGATGCCATCATAGTGACCATCTTTAAGAAGAGTGACAGGATGGTCTGCAAAAGCTACCGAGGGATCTCTTTGCTCTCAACTGCAGATAAAATTCTTGCCTGAGTCCTTCTGAACCAACTTCTTCCTCTGGCTGAATAAGTCTTTCCGGAATCACAATGCGGCTTCCGGCCAGGGCAAGGAGAAAGCCAATGGGTGTGGAAGAGCACATGGCCCGGACAGAGACATCTCTTAGAGGAAGGTCTATTAATAGAGATGCTCTATGTTCTAGTCAGGAGGAGAGGATGGAAGTATGGGTCAGATCAGGTGAGACACAATCAAATGAAAAAGAATCTAACACATCAGGAAATAGCAGACAGATACTGACAAATTTTTAAAGTGCTTATACAAAATGCTAGAAGTCTAAATGATAAGATGGGTGAACTAGAGTGCCTAGTTTTAAAGGAGGATATTGATATAATAGGTATCACAAAAACTTGGTGGAATGAGGACAATCAGTGGGACACAGTCATACCAGGATATAAAGTATATTAGAAGTACAGAACAGTTAGTTCTGGTGGGTGAATTACATGATATGTGAAAGAAAATGAAGAATCAAATGAAATAAAAATCATAAATGAATCAAACTGTTCTATAGAATCTTTATGGACAGTAATTCCATGCTGTAATATGAAGATAGCAGTATGGATATATTACCGCCCACTTGGTCAGGATAGCGATAGTGACTGTGAAATACTAAGGGAGATTAGCAAGGCTATACAAATTTTAAAAAAAATCAATAATAATAGTGAGATTTCGGCTTCCCACATTCTGACTGGTACACGTCACTTCAGGACGGGATGCAAAGATAAAGTTTTTTGACACTGCTTCTTGGAGCAGCTGATTCCAGAACCCACAAGAGGAGAGGCAATACTTGATTTAGTCCAAAGCGGAGTGAAGGTCTGGTCCAAGAGGTGAAGATAGCTGAACCACTTGGAAATAGTGACCATAAGGGATATAAAATCTAATTTAATTGGTTAAACTTAGTGCTAACACCATGATTAACTGATTAAAGGGGAAGTGTGAGGGAGGGGCAAATCCAGTGGAGGCAGGAGTGGCTCCTTCATCCACTAGGGTCAGGTTAGAGAAGCTCCTGCCACCGGCAGAGGCTGCTCCATGATTTTCCCGGCTACTGCATGGTAGCTGCCCCAGCCAGCCCCCGTATGGACTGGGAGCCAGCAGAAAACATGAGGGGCCTGGCAGAGTTGGAGTAGCCCTCTGCCTACGGCTGGGCCATGGGCGGTGATGGGAGAGGTACTACTTCTGGCTACTGGTTAATTGTTACGTGGCAAGCATTACCCATTAACGTTGATGCTTACCTGGTAACTTTTTAACCTATTACCTGTTAACATCCCTAGTAACCATACTATAATCATATGTAACTTCCCTGTGGTCGGAAAAACAGCATAGCAGCCCAATACTATGGCATTTAATGTCAGAAACGTGAACTACACAAATATGAGGTTAAACAGAAATTTAAAAAGGAACACTGCCAAAAGTAAAAGCTTTCCACTGGGTGTGGTCCTGCTTATACGGTTTGTTGGAGGAGGCTTTAGAGGCTCAGAAAGACCATTAAAGGGGGACCCAGAAAAAGGTGGTCTCTGGTATTTTCAGCACCTCAGTTGGTAAGCCAGAGGGTCCCAAGTTGTCACAAACACACAAAAGACCAAATTTCAAGGGGGGAGATCAGAATTCATAGTCCATGACTTATTTGTTATAGCTGTGAATTTGGTAAGGCCCTATGAATCTGACATTCTTAATCAAAGCGTTGGTCAATCAAGTTATTCTGCTAATTAGCAGGGTCTACAACATCTGATTTTTCAAAGGAATAATTCAGCTTCATTTTGTGTTTCACTGTCTCATTATTGATTACAAGTAATATAGATATAGATAAATACATACATACATAAATACTCTCTTTGCTTCAGTTTTCATGGCTGAGGATTTTAGGGAGATTTCCAAATCTGAGCCATTATTTTTAGGTGACAAATCTAAAGAATTGTCCCAGATTAAGGTGTCGTTAAAGGAAGTTTTGGAACAAATTGATAAACTTCATAGTAACAAGTCACCAGGGACCAAAGGGCATTTACCCAAGAGTTCTGAAAGAACTCAACTGTGAAATTGCGGAACTATTAACTGTGGTTTGTAACCTATCCTTTAAATCATCTCCTGTACCTAATGACTGGAAGACAGCTAATGTTCCACCAGTATTTAAAAGGTGATCCTGGCAATTATAGACCAGTAAGTCTAACATTACCAGGCAAATTAGTTGAAATTATAGTAAAGAATAGACTTGTCAGACACATAGATGAACATATTTTGTTGGGGAAAAGTCAACATGGTTTCTGTAAAGGGAAGTCATGTCTTAATAATTTACTAGAGTTCTTTGAGGGGGTCAACAAGCATGTGGACAAGGATGGATAACGTGTACTTAGATTTCCAGAAAGCCTCTGACAAGGTCCCTCACCAAAGGCTCTTAAGTAGAGTAAGTTGTCATTGGATGAGAGGAAAGGTCTTCTCATGGACTGACAACCAGTTAAAAGACAGGAAACAAAAGGTAGGAATAAATGGTCAGTTTTCAGAATGGAGAGAGGTAACTAGTGGTGTCCCCCAAGGGTTCATATTGGGACCAATACTATTCAACATATTTATAAATGATCTGGAGAAAGAGGTAAACAGTAAGGTGGCAAAATCTGCAGATGATCCTAAACTGCTCAAGATAGTTAAGACCAAAGAAGAGCATGAAGACCTTCAAAAGGATCTCACAAAACTAGGTGGTTGGGCAACAAAATGGCAAATTAATTTTAATGTTGACAAATACAAAGTAATGCACATTGGAAAAAATAATCCCAACTATACATACAAAATGATGGGGACCAATTTAGCTATAACCACTCAAGAAAGAGATCTTGGAGTCACTGTGGATAGTTCTCTGAAAACATCTACTCAATGTGCAGTGGCAGTCAAAAAAGCAAACAAAATGTTAGGAATCATTAAAAAAGGATAGGGAATAAGACAGAGAATGTCTTATTGTAGAAGTACAAATCCATGGTATAGCCACATCTTGAACACTGTGTACAGATGTGGTTGTCTCATCCCAAAAAAGATATATCGGCATTGGAAAAAGTTCAGAAAAGGGCAACAAAAATTATTACGGGTTTGGAACAGGTCCCATATGAAGAGAGATTAAAAAGACTGAGACTTTCATCTTAGAAAAGAGGAGACAAAGGGAGGATATGATAGAGGTCTATAAAATCATGAATGGTGTAGAAAAAGTGAATAAGGAAAAGTTATTTACTTATTCCCATTACTTAAGAACTAGGGGTTACAAAATGAAATTAATAGATAGCAAGTTTAAAACAAACAAAAAGGAAGATTTTCTTCATGAAGCACAGAGTCAACCTATGGAACTTCTTGCCAGAGGATGTTGTGAAGACCAGGACTTTAACAGGTTTCAAAAAATAATTAGACAAATTCATGGAGGTTAGGTCTATCAATACTTATCAGGTAGGATGTATAGGAATGGTGTTCCTAGCTGAGCTAGGTGGACCATTAGTTTGAACCAGTGTGGCTGTTCTTATGTTCTTAAGATTCAAATTAACTGACAATATTTTGTTAGAAAAAAAACTGTCCCCCCGGTACAAAAGTTTGGCCAGGCCGCTCTTGCTATTGTGGGCTGCAGTACTTCTTGGGAGAAACCAGCTGCACCCTTCCTGCATACCATTGCCTTTAGAAAAAGGGAAGGTGTGAAAAGTGGAAAATAGCCTTAGACTCTCCCACCCATCACCTTGGCATGAGAACTGTGGGGCTTACCTGGTCGCATAAACCTGCACAGTTTCGGCCCAACCCCTGGGACACAGACCCCCACTTGGTGACCGTTGGGCCATATGTGGTAATATGCAAACGCAGGAAAGCAATGTGCAGCCCTCGAGGAGGTCTTCACAACACACGTACCACTGTGCGTGTGCCTTCCTATATACTTCAAAGCACTGACGGCCTGATCAACTGACCAGACACCTCCCCCGATTCTCGGGCGTAACCAAGGCCTTCGCAACCGAACCGATGTCTTTGACATGTTCCGTGTGCTGTGTAAGTTGGTATGTATAATTTGATTTTATTTGTTGTAAATGCTTGGTGTTGTAGTTGTTTTTGGTAGTACATAGAGTTTGTTATCACTTATTTAATTAGTGTAGCTGGATATCTTTAGAATAGAGACTATTCCCCTTGCCATTCCCATCCTTATATTTCTGACACATTTAACTAGAAATCGTAGAATAAATATAATAAATACTGTAAATTCATTATTAACATGGTCTATTAAAAATGTTAGAATAAATACTATAAATTCATCACTGTCATAAATAAATATCTTTTATTTGCTAAAACGGTCCACCTGGTTCTGTCCTTCCCCCCTTGGGTATGCATCATCGGACCTGTGGTTCTCACAACATATTTCAGACACCAAAGACAAAAAATACAGTATTTTGTTTTTCTGGTGATTTACACTTTTTACAGTGGTGCCAATAAAAAAGGCTTTTTTTTCCTTCCTCAACAAGCCACGAAGACATAATTGAAACAACACAGAAAAAGAAAAGACAGGCATCCTATTTTTTATACAGTCATTTTACTGATCAGAAACACACTTCCAGCCTGAAGCAAGTTTAAAGAACTCACAATTTTGGATATCTAAAAATTGGAATTTGTGCATATCCTGATCAGGGTTTACAAAAGTTATTTGCAGATGCAAATCACAGAATTTTGCATATCCCAAATGGCAAACCGCAAAAACATGCCAACTGCATACAAACTTAAATACAGATTTTATAAATATAGCTCTTTATATTCTGTGGTGAATTTGGTGATATTACCTTGCTGTTCCTCCAGATCCATGTCAAGTCGTCGAATAACCTCATTAAAATGATTGATTTTTTCTTTTATTTCTGTCAGCCTAATGATAAATAATAAAATTTGGAGTTAAAAATGAGCTATTAAATAGGTTAAATATTAAACAGGTTTTAAGAAACACTATGAAGAAAAGGATCAGAATACAGGCAGTCCCCGGGTTACGTACAAGATAGGGACTGTAGGTTTGTTCTTAAGCTGAATTTGTATGTAAGTTGGAACTGGTACATATTGTAGGGGAAACTCTAGCCAAACATTTCTCCAGAGCTCAGTTTTATTCTCCCACACCTCACTTCCTTCAGTCCTTTATTCTCAAGCTGAGGTGTCTGCTGAGAAAAGCTGCTCCACGTCTCCCTGGTCTGCTGGGGAGGGGGCGCTAGCTTCGCATCTCCCTGGTCTGCTGGGGAGAAGCAGCTAGTGTGGGGTTGCCTCACCCCGTTTGTAAGTAGGGATCCGATGTAAGTCGGATCCATGTAACCCGGGGACTGCCTGTACAAATAAACAATGTATTACTAACAAAAATAATATAATAATGTTATTGTCATTTTAACACTAATTTGTATGGCATCTCTCAGTGTACAAAATGCATTGTTTCCGACTTGTTTTGAATTAATTTTTTGTCTCTTTGTGAGAAATGTAATCACTACATTGAAACCTAATCAGTGTTGTGTTACTATAAGGTTCCCTCTACTGGTTGTTATACAGCTTTAGAGATACAATGTAAATGGCATAATGTATTTTTATTTAAATAAAATTCTCTGTATAGTAATAATGAAGACACAGAAAACATGGTAAAGTGTGTCAGAATAAGAAATTAAATTACATTCAGAAGTTCTTCTGTAATTCTCAATTAAAATTTTTTTAGCTACCAAGAATTCTATTTAAGCAACTTATCAATGTTTAAAAATAAACCCACAAAAAGCATGTCACTGTGAACCGTATAAAAAATTGTACACCATAGTTTCCATAAGATTTAAAGAGTAAAACATTTTCTAATCTTTCATACCTATTGTTTGTTGAGATGTGTTGCACATGTCTGTTCCACTTTTGGTGTGCACATATACGATGCAGTCTCCAGAATTGTTTTCCCTTTGGTGTTACCTGTCAGTGTTGCTCGACTGCCCTCTGCTGCTAGACCCAACCAACCCTAAGTACTCTGTTCTTTCCTTCCAGAAACTCTGATGCATAGTGGTAAAAGGGTAGGTCATGGAAAGGATATGTGCAACACATCTCTAAGAATAACAGTTACTAAAGGTTAGTATCATTTTTTTCAAGTGATTGCATATGTGCATTCTACGCTTGTTTATTTCCAAGCTATTAAATAGGCAAAGGGACCAGAATTCACCTAGGCATAGGCTGTAGTACAGAGCGACCAAATTTGGGTGATGATGTAAGGAGACAAGAAAATTTGCACTGATCACCAGATTGGTACTATGCAAATGTCCAGGATAACAATGTGCACCAGGAATGTCATTGAAGAGATCTTAGTTTAGGGTACAATCTTTCCAGGCCTTTAAGGAATTTGTCATATCACTAAAAAAAACCAGAATAGTTATCCATCTGAGGGAGGAATGAAGATATTGCTGCCAGGTGAACCTTGCTAAGGAAATCACTAAGCCTTCCTGTTCCTGATTCTGGTGTAGTTAAGTGTTTGTTGGATAGATGAATAAATCAATGAGACTCCAGTTTAACATGCCAAGAGAGAGAAATAGAGAAATTAGTCACTCTGTGCAGTACGGATTGTTCTTCAAGATGTGTGTCCCCATGGGTGCTTCACTGTTGGTGTTGGGCTCATCCCAGCACCATGGATCGGAGATTTTTACAGCAGTGTCCAGTTGGGCTGTGCATGCGCAAGAGGCACTTGGAGTTCCCACCTTTGAAGTTAGCGCACGCAGACCAACTCCCCTCTGTTTCTTCTTTGATGCCCTCCTTGCAATTTATTAATGGTCAAAGAAGCAGGGAAGAGGGTGGGTAGTGGAGCACCCCAGGGGATACACATCTTGAAGAACCTTACAGCACAAAGTGAGTAACTTCTCTTTCTTCTTGGAATGGTGTCCATGTTGTTGCTCCACAGTTGATGACTGTGGAGCAATTCCCATTTAGATGGTAGGTGGGCTATGACTAGTTATTGTGGGCTGTGGAGAGCCGCAGTAGCCACTGTGGGCATCCATTGTTGAGCATGGTGGAAATGTGTAGTGCTTCATAAAGGTGTGATTAGATGACCATGTGGCTGCTTGACGTATTTCCTGGAGTGGGACTCTGCTGAGGAAGGCAGTTGATGTTGCCATCACTCTGGTGGAATGAGCTTTGGGAGTTGTCAGTAATGCTCTATTCTGGAGTGAGTAGCAAGTGGTAATACAGGATGTTATCAGTTTTGATATAGGTTGGGAAGAAAGTGGATTTCCTTTGGACCTTTCAGCTAGGGATACAAGCAATCTCTGTGATAGTGAAAAAGGATTGAGTCCTGTGCCCGTCTCACATCAAGGGTACGTCTAGACTACAGGCTTCTGTCGACAAAGCGCGTCCAGACTACATTGAGTTCTTTCGACAAAGCAAGCTGCTTTTGTCGACATGGTAGTCTGGACACAAAGGACAGTTTCCATTCAATAACACCTTCTGTCGACAGAAACTCTGTCGACAGAAGGTGTTATTCCTCGTAAAATGAGGTTTACATACATTGACAAAACTGCTGAGTTCTGTCGACGTTATGTCGACAGAACTCAGCGGTAGTGTGGACGCAGGTATAGTTTTGTCGACAAAAGTCCACTTTTGTCGACAAAACTCTGTAGTCTAGACACACCCCAACAGTCTGCAATATGGCCTTGGTCTAGGAGTGATGTGGTTTCGGATAGAAGATGGAAAGGACTATTGGGTCTCTGATATGAAATTCGGAACCAACTTTGGGTAAGGAGGAGTGGTGAGGTCCTAGAATGACTTTATGTTTGCAGAAAGTGGTGTATGGAGGCGAGGCCATGAGAAATGCCAGTTTGCTAATCCGCCTTGAAGATGTGATTGCCAACAGGAAGAGCTTTTTAATGGTGAGAAAGTTAAGTGATGAAGTTGCCATTGGCTCGAAGGGTGGTTTTGTGAGTTCAAGTTCTAAATCCCATGTGAGAGGTATGGGTGTCCACAATGGGTGAAAGTTCTATAGGCCCTTCCAAAACCTCTTGGAGTTGGGGTGGGCAAATATGAAGAATCCATCTACAGGGGAGTGAAAGGCCATGATCACGGCCAGACAAAGTCGGAGTGATGACAGAGATAAATGCTGATGTTTCAGGTGCATGATGTATTCCAGGATCAAATGGAGCGGAGCCATAGCTGGTTGAACTCCTTTCTGGGTACACCACTATGTGAACTGTTGCCATTTGCGAGGGTGGTTTGTATTTCGTGCAGCAGCACAATTCTTACTTATTGCAAGCACTGTTGCTCTGATTCCAAAAACCAGGTAGATACCATGCTGTCAGGTGAAATGCTTGCAGCTGGGGATGAAGTATTTGCTCTGGGAGAGGAGGTCTGGGCAGGACAGAAGTGGGCAGAGAAGTCATAGAAAAAGTTGATAAAGACATGGAAACCATGTCTGCCAAGGCCAAGCTGCAGCTATTAGAATTACATGGGCCCCATCTGTCTATCTTTTCTGAGAACTCTGGGAATCAGAGGGATAGGAGGGAAGGAATTTAACTGGTGAGTATTCCATGGAAAGAGCATTGCGTCCCCCATGGAGTTGTGCCCTGTGCCCACTCTGGAACAGTACTAGGGGAATTTGGAATTGTGGCTGGTTGCAGAGGTCTGTTTGTGGTCAACCCCAGAATTGGAATAAATCATGGAGACCTGATTGTGCAGCTCCCATTTGTGCTCTGTGACAAAGTGGAGGCTGAGGATATCCGTCATGGTATTCTTTTCCCCAGGTAAGTATTCTGCCATGATGGTTATATTGTGTTGGATACACCAATTCTAGAGCTGAATCGCCTCTCCACATAGAGAATGGCATCTGGTGCCCCCCTGGTGGCTGACGTAGAACATCATGGTCATATTGTCAGTGAGGATACGCACCGAAGAGCCCTGAATATGTGAGAGGAAATATTTGCACGCGCTGTGAACTGCTCGAAGCTCGAGCAGGTTAATGTGGAGCCCAGACATATTGTTGGTCCATTTTCCTTGTGTATACTATTGTTGGAAGTGGGCATCCGAACCTAGAAGTGAGGCATTTGTGGTGATTTGTTTGGATGGTTGCTCTTAGTGGAAGGGCACCCCAGTCTAGAGGTTCTGTGCCTGGATCTACCATAGCAAGGAAGTAAGAACTTTCGGCGGAGGCAAAACGTATCTGTGGATGTGGTGCTTGGTTGGTGTATACACTATGGCATCCAGTGTTGGAACCATCGAAAGAGCAGTCTGGTATGTCAGATGACATATGTAGTGACTGCCATATGCCCCATGAGTTTGAGACGGGTTAGAATGGGAATGGTTGGGCTGGTGGTCATGAATGTCACCAGGCTTTTTATATTGTTGAAACATTAATTGGGGAGACAGGCTTGTGCTGTCGTAGAATCTATGTGAGCCCCTATGAACTATAGGGATTATGAGGGGGCGTAGAGTGGAAATTGGTCATTGATAATGAACCCTCTAGACTAAAGGAAAGTCTTTGTGAATCTGATCATGTCCCTTGTGATCTGTTTGGAGGGATGTTGGATGAGGCAATCATCCAAATAAGGGAAGATTGTGATGCCTTTTCAACAGAGATGCGCCACTGCAACTGCGAGGGTCTTGGTGAAGACTCTGTGGGCAGAGTGGAGTCTGAATGGGAGGAATCTATATTGAAAATGGTCAGATGCCACTGTAAATTACAGAAAACTTCTGTGTGTAGGGGGTATTGTGATATAGAAGTATGCATCTTAGAGGTCGAGGGCTGCAAACCAGTCTCCCTTGTCCAGTGCGGAAATAATCATAGTGAATGTGACCATTTTGAAATGCTGCTTGCGAAGGTGTGTGTTTAGTTGATGGAGGTCTAAGAAAGGTCTCCAACACCCCTTCTCTTTCCGGTGAGAAATC